GTTTTAATTAATTTCCTCGATCTTCTTTTGTGTTCCCTTCTTTGTTTTGAATTATTTTTAATTTCCGATTGTATCCTCTCCAATGTTCTCGAAATACTCGTTGTTTGGACTAACCGGCAATTAACCAAACTGAAAAAACAATCATTCCTTTTCCGTTTTTTAATTTCTTCTTGTTGTTGGTCATTTATTGGGTTTTGTATAATTAATTCAATATTTTCTCCTGAAGCTGCGAGGGAGGAGATAAGGCGATTAACTAAAGAAGCTGAATCATCGTTGGTAGAAGATAATTGAATTTCTTGCCTAAATATTAAAAAATATTAGAGAATAGTTTATAATATTTAAGCTTATAAATTAGTTGGTTATTAGGGTTTTTTTCAGGATATGAAGGTGTTTGTTGGACTTTTTAAATATCTGTATAGACTAGGGACACTACAGGAAGGGTTGTTTTACGCGTTGTTTTACGAGATATCTAAAAAATACCTATACCGATAACCGAGCTTTTTATTTTAGATATCATGTAGAAAATAAGGATCTCATCAAGAAAATCACTATTGTTATTTTTGTTGAGATATTTTATTAAAATTTACCGATTTAATTCATTTCCATCTGCACCATTTAAGTGAAAAGATTTGTTAATTTCATGATTCCGGATGCGTCTTAGTCGAGGATGTAAAACAGCTGAATAAATTAAATCAGCAGATAAAATCAAAATAAATGATTGGATGTTGAATAGTTTAGACATTTGTCTGATAATATTTATGTACTAAAAATTTTAAAAAATAATTAAATTTTATTTACAATTTATTTAAGATAAATATTAAATTAGTCAAAATTTTATTTATCAAATAACAAGAGTGAAATTTTAATTTACAAACATGACCAGCATTTTTTAAAAAGGGCGTGCCAAAAAATGTAGCAACTTGCTTTATAATCTTTTTTTAAAAGGACATTAAAATTACTAAATGTCAACAACCTATAAATTAATTTTAGATTTTTGGTATGGTTTCTTAAGTTTTGCGAGAGAAAACATGACGTTTTTTGTGAGACTAATTTTTATTGTTAAAAGGTTGACGGAAATACGTACTAAAATACTTTTAACCTTCAAAGGAAGTAAAGTTTGGTAAAATTAAAAGGAATGAGCACATAAGATTATACCGTATTTTCTCGATTAATTCCCCTGGGGAATTATTTTTTCAACCTATCCATGGCATGGGGAATTATGCAAGGGAGGGGAATTATTCGACTTTTGAAATTTGAACGTGCAATAGGGTATTTGCGGGAGGGGAATTATTGTTTCAACCTATCTTTGGCAGGGGAAATTAATCGAGAGGGGGAATTATTCTAGGGAGGGGAATTAATCGAAAAAATACGGTAAATATATACACAAATAATGTATTAATCAGTTCAAAGTTATAATAATGATTAGGCTTGAGTCAACACTTTATTCTTACTCATAAATATAAGCAAGTCTTAACACTTCATTTAAATCTAAATAAAAATGAGTGTATTTATTATAAATGACAAGTTATATTAGCAAAAATAAAATGCTTTAGAATGCTTTAAACTTACAAAAAATATGAAATCATTTTTAAAACAATGATTGAGGGATCTTTAAAATTTGGAAATAAAACACCCTCAAAGGATTAGATAGTCTAACAATTTACTTACTAATAAATATATTTTATTATTTATTTATTTAATTTTTATTGTTTGCTGTTAATTTACTTAAATTTTAACTAATCCTTTTTAAATATTTAGTTTTTTTTTAAATTAAAGCATTAATTAAAAACTTGTTTATTTAATAAATAAATAATAATTAATTATTTTAAATAACGTTTACTACTTATTAAATAAATAAATTAATATAATGTTTATTGCTTTAAAATTAAAATTAAGAAAAAAATAATATTTATTATAGTTGTTTATATTAAATATTTTAATTTAGTTTGTGTTTGTTTTTTTTAAAAATGTTTGGTAAAAAAATATTAAAAAAAAATGAATTAATATTTTATAAACGTAATTCATATTTAATTAAATTTTGATTGCTTTTCATCATTCATTCACCCATTTAACGGGCAAAATAACAAAAAACATTTTCCTTATTTACAGCTAAAAACTTAATCGTTTCATTAAATCCTTAAAAACATTTATAATTTAGTTCTTTCTAATGACCTTTATTAAATACGTGGAAAATGGTATGGCTTTTCAAATAAATTTAAAGAAAAGGGATTGATGGTGGACTAAAAATGAGAGAATAAACTCCCCTTTTAATAAAAAAAACTTTTTTTAATTTCACACGTAAAACCATTAAAAAAGGCTTTGAATTGAACTTGTATTTAAATTAAAAAAAATAATAATCTGGATAAATGTGTAGATTTATGGATGGGTTAAATGCTGGCACTAATGGACATTTATCTTTTTATTTTTTTTAGTTAATCCCCTTTTGACTTGTTAATTTGCATCTGTCAATTTGACATTTAAAATATTTTTTTTATTTAATACGAACTAGAGTAATATATGAATATTCTTAAAATAGAATATAACACTTTAGTTAATCTTTATTTATGATGAGTACTTGGATTTTAGAAAGAGAGAGATAAAGAGATATGTAATTTTAAAGTTTTTTAAGTGCTAGTTTAAATTGAAATTTTTTTTAATTTTATAAAAATTTTAATATTTTTTAGTCTTTACTTTTTAAATTTTTAAAAATTCTTTTTAAATTTCTTTTTTAAATTTCTATTTATATCTTATCTTTAATATTTTTTCTTTTATTTTTTTCTCAAAAAAATTTTTTGGGTAAAATTTCTTGTAAACTTTGAAAAAATTTTTTCCGAAAATTTAATATTTAATTGTTTTTTTTTGTGTTTTACCAATTGAATTCAACCCAAATTAAATATTATTTTAAATATTTTTTTCTAAATAATTCAAAAACCTGTTTATAAAATATTCTTTAAATTTATTTGACAATCTATTTTTAAACTTTAAAAGTAAATATACGCGTGACAGACAATTATTTTTAATCACAAACAAATTTTTTAATCACAACATTAATTTAAAAAATTTTCTTCTAAAACAAACAAAATTTTTTGACAGATAATGACTGTCAATAAAATCGTATTTTCTCTATTAGAAAAATAACCCCTTCATTTGAATGATCCCCTCTAATAGAATGGCTCCTTTTTAATGCCAGAAATTTCCCAAATAAAAAAGATATTCGCTTTTCTTATTTTTCTTGACATTTTCGGAGTTGTTGAAAAACTTGGAAATTATTTTCAATTTATATTTTTTTCAAAACAGGAGACTTGAGGGAGTAGGATTTGTGAATCTAATGGATATCATGGATTTTTTAAAATTAATCCCGTAAATGCTGTTACTTAATATATATCAAAGATATCAGGAGATTTAAGTGATATCAGGGAATATCGGTGGATTAAAGGACTTAAAGGGATTTAGAGTGATTTCGAGAGATTTGTATGGATTAACAGTGGTATTATGTAGTGGATTGTGAGGATTAAAAGGAATATCGAGGGATAAAGAGAAATTAAGTGAGATAAGTATAATAGTTTAGGAAAGATTCAGAGGTATATTGGAAATTTGAGGGAATTAAGAATGATTATAGAGGAGTAGAAGGGAATAGAGAAATTTGAGGGATTAAGAAGGAATCGGTGAGTGGGAGGAATTAAGTGGGCTATTAAAAATTGTATAAAACTTTAAAAAGGTGTTTTGCTGCAAAATTATTACAAAAACTATTATATGTATTACTTGCTGCAAAATTATTTTATGCTATTCTAAAGGTTATACGACACTTGGGGACGGACTTTTGCGGACCGACATTTGAGGATGAACATTTGAGGATTGCGGACCGACATTTGGGGACCGACATTTGAGGATCGAATTTGAGGAATCGACATTTGAGGACCGACATTTGGGGATTGCCATTTGAGTATAAGAATATTTGTATCTTAAAACAGAATTTATCACAGAATTTTACGGAACAACAATTATCACAAATTATGTACTACGGTGAAGTTGTTGCACAAGCGGGGGAAGTTGACATGTCGGCGGTGGATGCTGTTTAGACGACGGGGGATGTTGTTCCGTCAACGGGGGATGTTGTTCCAATGACGGGAGAGGTTCTTTCAACACGCAGATTACCTTCCACCATTGACGGAAACAATTCTTGCCATTGACGGAACAACTTTCCGCGGTGACGGAACAACACCCCCCGTTTACGGAACAACTTCCCCCGTTGTCGGAACAACATTCCTCATTGTCTGAACAACTTCCCCCGTTGTCGGAACAACATTCCTCGTTGTCTGAACAACTTCCCCCGTTGTCTGAACAACTTCCCCCGTTGTCGGAACAACATTCCTCGTTGTCTGAACAACTTCCCCCGTTGTCGGAACAACATTTCTCGTTGTCTGAACAACTTCCCCCGTTGTCGGAACAACATCCCTCGTTGACAGAACAACTTCCCCCGTTTACGGGACAACTTCCCCCGTTGTCTGAACAACTTCCCCCGTCGTTTAAACAGCATCCCCCGCCGACATGTCAACTTCCCCCGCTTGTGCAACAACTTCACCGTAGTACATAATTTGTGATAATTGTTGTTCCGTAAAATTCTGTGATAAATTCTGTTTTAAGATACAAATATTCTTATACTCAAATGGCAATCCCCAAATGTCGGTCCTCAAATGTCGGTTCCTCAAATTCGATCCTCAAATGTCGGTCCCCAAATGTCGGTCCGCAATCCTCAAATGTCCATCCTCAAATGTCGGTCCGCAAAAGTCCGTCCCCAAGTGTCGCACCACGATTCTAAATCTTTTGTTTTGATAAAAGGAGATTCGTTTTTAAAATTAAAATTTTAAAAAAATCAAAAAAATGCAATGACTCCCCCCTCCCCACTCCTAGATGCATGACCCTTTCTAAGATAAGGCCCTTTGGAAGATGTTTGAAAAATAGAATGGTCGGCCATTCTATTAGAGATATTTACATTTATAGATGAAAGATTTTGGCCGAGGAGATGAATTTATCATTATTTTAATATTTATCTTATTATTTTATAAATTTACTCAATTTTACTCATTTATTATATTATCAGCATTGCTTTTGTGTTTTTGGTTATGGTAAATAGGATTTTTAAATAAATATTCTCTAATTATTTGTTAGGCGTTTATACGACAAAAAACAGTATTGGCAAAAACAAGGAGTGCCAAGTTCCCCGGCAAATCTTTTTGTCGGTCATATGAAGGAAGTAAGATCCAACAATGGAGTAATTGAGTTCGAGAAGGAACAATTTAAGAAATTTGGTAAAACATATGGGTAAGAGTTGAATACTTATATTCTAGACTAGCAATAATTTATTAGAATGTACTTTCTCGACATGAACTGCCTTGTGACAATGGATTTGGATTTAATCAAGCAAATTTGCATTAAAGACTTTGCCCATTTCCCAGCCCGTTTTTCAGTTATTTTTTAGTATAAATATTTAAATAAATAACTTCACCAAGGGCCTTCCAGATACTCAAAATAAAAAAATAATTCAAAAAAGCCTGCTTAGAAGCATGGTCTCTGTAATTCAAGGAGACGATTGGCGACGTGTTCGCAATCGTATAACGCCAGCATTTACAACGGGAAAATTGAAAAAGGTCAGAAATGTAAATTTGCATCTTCCTATCAATTTTAGATAATTCCAACTATTGCCGAAAGCTCTAATCACTTAATTAACTATATTTCTCGTAAATATGTAGTAACTAACGAGGAAATACCCTTGAAGGAGTAAGTACTTAAATGTGCCAATATTTTATGTCCACATAATCCCTAGAATTTTTGGCCGTTTCGCACTTGATGTGATTGGCCGTTCGGGATTTTCATCAGATTTTAAAACATTTTCGGATGAGGACAGTGAAATAGTTAAACAAACACTTGTTTTCTCAAATCCCGCAAGAAATATGGTTTATTTTGCCTTTATGAGTTATTTTTAAATTTAATTGTTTGAAAGCTGTATTAACAAATTTCAGCATTCTTTCCTTTCCTAAATAGCTTGCTAGAACGTTTCTTTTCTTTTGATTTATGGGATATGCCTGCGCAAAGATTTTTCCATGGTATTATGTCTAAATTGTATGATGAACGTAAAGATGATCCTGAGGCGAAGGATGTGGGTTATCCCGGGATGCTAGAAAGTGTTTACTTAGAAATATATTTATTTAGAAATATAATGACATTTTCCAATTACTCATGAATGCTGTAAATGATTCTGAGGCCTCCGAACTAGAGGATGTTACAAAGGGTCAAACTACCGATGAACTAAACAATAATTCGATAACTAAACAATATGATAAATATCTCAGCAAAATAGAGCTTTTTGCTCAAGGGCTTATACTTTTAATTGCTGGGTTAGAAATTCAAAACTAAAGCTACTTATGTATTTAAATATTTTATTGTTTTAAACAGATATGATACAACAGGTTCAGTTTTGCAATTTGCTATTTATATGCTTGCAATGAATCCAGAAGTTCAGGCAAAATTGCGAGAGGAAATTAATTGTGTGCTTGGGGAAGAAGTAAAAATAATTTTATTTTTAAATAAAATCATTTCAGGAACAAATTTCATATGAGCATTTAAAAAGGATGGAGTATCTACAGGCAGTTGTTCAGGAAACTTTAAGAATGTATCCGCCAGCTCCCGAGTAATTAAACTTAAATAAATAAACCAAAATTATTTTCATAGCTCCAATCGTGAATGCAATTCTAATTTAAATATAAACGGAATTAATTTACGTGAAGGAGATTTAGTTTTTATACCAATCTATTCGATTCAACATAATGAAGAATTTTACCCCGAACCTGAAAAATTTAAGCCAGAAAGGTAAATACATATTATAACCATTTTAAAAAAATAAAAATTATTTAAAGATTTATTCGGGAAGAAAAATCTTCTTTGGATCCTTTAACGTTTTTAGCCTTCGGATTAGGCCAAAGAAACTGTATTGGTATGCGCTTCGCTGAATTCCAAATGCATGTAGTCATTGCTCTTATTGTCAGGCGTTTTAACTTCAAACCGGGTCCAAACAGTCCGGTTATTAAAAATTTAAAATAATTTTTAAAAATTATCAATTCAGAGTCTACCCCTAGAACTTGAATCAATTATGCTTTTACGTCCAAAAGAAAAACTTGTAGTTTTGGCTGAGGATTTGTTATAAAAATATTTTTGATTTTAAAATAATGCGGAAATTCTATAAATGTCTAAAAACATAAATAGAAAAATTGTAAATAAATTTTATTTATTATCTAATGAGTACTAATATAAACTAATATAAATTTATATCTTTAATACACAGATGTTTCTAGTCATAGTCCTACCATGATATACCCCAGGTAGTTAATCCTCATCTACCCTTTTTTCGCAATTTTGTCCCCGAGAGTTCAACAATGAAATGAACTAGGACGCTTATGTTAGGTCAGAAAAACTATATGTATCACACTAATTAGAGTTGCCGTTTTCGAGTCGGGTCACTTGTTTTTATCGGACCGAGCCTAACTTTTATCGAGTTGGGCCATACGAGTCTTTTTCGGGCCAAACAACCATGATCCGACTCGATCTTTCGTTACGAGTTGATCCATTTTGGCAACCCTATACTAATCCAAATTTGGACTAAAAACCCCTAAATTTGTAGATATTTTGTTTATTTAAAATTCTGATTTTTAAAAACAATAATAAATAAATGTTTATAATTAATTTTTCTGGGAACAATACTTTTGGATAATAAAAATAAAAGAGAATTTATTTAAATATTAACAAGTGAGAAAAGAAGAATCCTATGTAAATTCCTAATTTCTAAATATTATTTTTTCTTCTAACATCCACGTAGTTGTTCACCCAATATTTTATGAAATTCGCCAATACTTTTATCTGTAAAAACTTTATTTGGATCTCCACTAATTCTAGCCAATTCATCCCTAGCAACAACCATTGTTTCGTTATTATTTACAGCAACGGCAAAAATATTAGGAATAAGTTTATGAAGTTCTAATGATTCAACTGAAAAATCATGTTGTCCAAATCCATCAGTAATAACAACTGCTATCGGGATTGCCACACCTGGCCTGGCACCTCGCTCAACTGTATACTCGGCAATTGCCTAGAAAATTGTTTAAATTTTCTGGTTTCACTTAAGTATAGTTTGCATTAGAGCCCGGACCGAGACGAGATCTTGATCAAAAATTTCGGTTATCGAGATTTTATTGAGATCTTTATTCTCGTACGATACTCACAGTCCTGGCTTTAGTAGTTTGCATATTTAAATTGTTCTGGTTCTTAATCAGAATTTTAATATTTTAATTTTATTATTTTAAAACAAATGTTTATATAAAATTCTGATATTTGTGGAAAATTTTTTGTTCATTTAATATTCTGATTTTATTTTGGAATAATAATTTTTCAATTCTTTCTAGATACAATTCTGATTTTTTTCAGAATTGCTTCACTTACTAAAAACATTTTAATTTCTGATCTTTCAAATTTACTTAAAATTGTATTTATTTCAGAAAATATTCTGGAAAGTTAATTATAGTATTCATTACCTGTCGTAGTGCAGAATGTATAGCTGTAATTCCATCACTAAATGGAATGTCATTGAGCAAATAAAGCAATCTTTCTTGACTTTGGGGTGATAAAAATGATTGTATTGTGCGCACTTTATCTGCCGCTGCAAATTTAATAAGTGCGACATGTGCATTCTTGGGACCCAACCGCAATTTTCGAATTATATCTGCAGCTAAACGCTTTTCTTGTTCGAAAGCTTGTTCCACACTGCCAGATGAATCAATTAGAAGAATTAAATCAATAAGGCATCCAGGTCTGAATGTTGTTGTTGGTGATGAAAATGTGCTTGAAGTTGAAGTTGTTGATGGTGTTGATGAGGATATAATTGATGGATGAGGTGAACGTGTTCTTTGAGAAGAAATTATTTGTGTTGTTTTAGGTTCTAATATTGTTTGTTGTTTTCGGGAGATTCTAAAAGAATTAATTGATGTTGCAGTTGGTCTTTTAGTAGAAGTAGTAAAAGCAGTATTCTGAAAATGTTTAATTCAATGATTTATTTTTGAACTTTTCCGGAAATGTTTATTTTATGATGTTTAGTTAACTTCTCCGGAATGTTTAAAAATAAGTTTAAGTTTAAATTTAGTTAACTTTTCGAAACGTTAAATTTGTTTAAACATTCAAGAGATGTTTATTTACTTTTTCCGGAAATATTTATTTTATATTTTGTTTCTTTTCTGGAAAGGTTTAATTTCAGATGTTTTCTAATTTTATGGAAATGTTTAATTTTATGATGTTTTGTTTATTTTCCGGAAAAAGTTTAATTTTCTGATGTTTTATTTACTTTCCGGAAAAGGTTTAATTTTCTGATGTTTTATTTACTTTCCGGAAAAGTTTAATTTTCTGATGTTTTGTTTGTTTTCCGGAAAAAGTTTAATTTTCCGATGTTTTGTTTACTTTCTGGGAAAAGTTTAATTTTCTGATGTTTTGTTTGTTTTCCGGAAAAAGTTTAATTTTCCGATGTTTTGTTTACTTTCTGGGAAAAGTTTAATTTTCTGATGTTTTGTTTATTTTCCGGAAAAAGTTTAATTTTCTGATGTTTTGTTTGTTTTCGGAAAAAGTTTAATTTTCCGATGTTTTGTTTACTTTCTGGGAAAAGTTTAATTTTCTGATGTTTTGTTTGTTTTCGGAAAAAGTTTAATTTTCTGATGTTTTGTTTACTTTCTGGGAAAAGTTTAATTTTCTGATGTTTTGTTTATTTTCCGGAAAAAGTTTAATTTTCTGATGTTTTGTTTGTTTTCGGAAAAAGTTTAATTTTCTGATGTTTTGTTTATTTTCCGGAAAAAGTTTAATTTTCTGATGTTTTGTTTATTTTCCGGAAAAAGTTTAATTTTCTGATGTTTTGTTTATTTTCCGGAAAAAGTTTAATTTTCTGATGTTTTGTTTATTTTCCGGAAAAAGTTTAATTTTCCGATGTTTTGTTTACTTTCCGGGAAAGGTTTAAATTCAGATGTTTTGCTAATTTTTTGGCCAAAGAATTAATTTTCTGATGTTTATTTAAATTTCTATAAATGTTTAATTGTAAATATTTAATTCTGGAAATTTTAATTCATGTTGTTTTATTAGCTTTTCCGGAAATGCTTAATTTTCTGATGTTTTTAGATGATTAAGTACAAATCCTATTCTATTTCTAAACATTTGTTTGTTCCATTGAATAGTATTTTTATTTGTTCTGATTTAATTTCTATAATACAAAAATCACTAACCAACTCATTTCTTCCTCTTTGACTAAAAACATTGTTTCTGAAATTATTTTCATTAATTCTTCCAACATTTTGTTTATTAGTTGTTGTTTTCTGTAAAGCAATTGTTGATAATTTTGTAGTAGAAAGATTAATTAATGTTGGGGGTATTGTACTAGTAACAATTATACTCTTTGTTGTATTTATTCTAGACAAAACAACTCTCTCAATATTTTTTAAATTATTTTCATTTAATTTTTGTTTGTTAGGCAAAACAATTTTATTTTCCAAATTTAAATTAAAATTTTCTTCTTCCTCTTTTTTCAACGGTAAAACAGCAATTATATCTTTTTGACGTTGATTTTTCTCTTCTTCTTTTCCTTTTTCCTCAATTTCTTCAATAATTTTCTTTTCTTCAATTAATATTCTTTTTGAAGAATTATTTTTGGTTTCCCTCCTTTCAAAAGGTTCTTCTTCCATTTCTTCATCATCCTTTGATTTTTCTATTTGTTCTTCACTTCCTGCTACAAAAAAGTTTGAAGAGGAATTTAATTGAGATTCAGACGGTTGACATTCTAATGCTTTGGCCAAAAGAAAATGAGCAAATTCGGCATTTCTATCATAGGGGTAAATACGTTCAACAGAGCCAGTAAATGCACTCAACTGTTAAATAATTAAAAAATATTTAAATAAAACGGAGTCTATTAATTAATAATAACCATACCGTTTGTTCATCCACTTCCTTGGAACTATCTACTGCATGACAACTAAGACCTGGGGTCTGAAATTTAAAATTTTTAATTCAAAATATTAATTCCTTACCTTCTTAATTAATTCCCCAACCCTTTTCCTCTCTTCCGGCCCTTCCAAATCATTCTTTCCATCTCCCACAATTAAAATTAACCCATTCGATTCAGGTCTTCTCCCAGCTCCATTATAATAATTAATTGCTGTTTCAACAGCTTTCGAATAATTTGGACGTATAGAGATTGAACGAATCCGTTCAATTTTTTTAAATATAGATTCTCTGTCTTGAACTTCAGAAAAATAAAGTTCTTGGTGTTGTTCTCCAATTGAAATAACTGCTAAGCGGACACGATGACTGAGAGGGAGAGAACCTTTAATAAATGATTAGAAAAATTAGAGGAAAAATAACCGAGAACATCTAGAAGTAAATAACGATTAGAACTCAATTTTGGATCATTCCCTGTTGAACTAATGTCTGTATTGTCTAGAACAACAATTAAATCAAGTTTTGCTTTTTGACAAGTGTTACTGTCATCTCTCTATAAATTTGGTATTTTTTAGATAAATTTTGTTTAGTATATGTATACCTGAAAATCTCCAAATTCTCGAGGACCACTACCACCATCACCCCCACCACCTTCATTGCTCTTATCGTTTTTATTCAGATTTTCAATTTTCTTTTCAGAATTATTATCCAAACATTTATTATTATTTATTAACCCAACAATATCTTCCAAAAATCGTTCTGTAGAACCGTCTCTATAAATTCTTTTTTTATCCCCAACATACTTAAAAATAAATTTAATTTAAATATTCTTAATTAATTAATTTACATGTTCCAATTCTCGTAAATCTACTTCCTCCCCAAGTGCTACACCAAAACGTTCAGCCCCTGATTGGGCAAGTCTTTTACTTGCAGCCAAAACATTTTCCCATGGATCTTGACTCATTCCGTCATTCATTAGAACAATTACCTTAAGGAAATGAAAAATGTTTTGAAAAATATTTATTTGGGGAAATGTTTATTTAAAATTCAGATTTTTATTAAAAATAACATCCAGAAATTTCAAAAAAAAATCCAAGAATTTTTAATTAAAGAAATTTTTTTAAATAAATTGAGGACTTGTAAAGCATCATCCCTTCTTCCTTTCTCCAAATCCTGAACTGCCAATTCTACAGCTTTTGAAGTTAAAGTACTTCCACCCCTATAACTAATATCTTCTATTGCTTTTCTAACCATCTAAATAATTTAAAATTTAATTTAGAAAAAAAGTTTTTTTGCCTTTCTTTCACGTCCCAATCCCAATGTTTGTCTCAAAACAGGGACATTAGTAAAACTATTTATTCCAATAGCAACATGTGTATCATCTACACTTATTGGAAGTTTTTCAATTAATGAAAGGGCTAATTCCCGTTGATGTTCAAATACACTTTCTCTTGAAGAAGAAGCATCCAAAATTATTATCTAAATTGTTTTAAAACTTGTTTGGTTAAAATTTCGATTTCTTTGGGAATATTTAAAGTTTTGATTGTTTCAGAAATGTTTAAATGAAATTCTGACTTTTCTAAATATTTATTAAAAATAGAGTTCGGACCCGAACCGAATCTGGATCCGGTGGTCCGGAATCCGGGTATTTTGATAAAAACCGGAAAAAATTAAAACTGTGGAATCCGGATCCGGCATTTTACAAATGTCGAACTCTATTAAAAAAGATTTTGTAATTAAAGCAAATATATATGTATATTACAAATATATATTTACCAACCAAATCCATTTTTGAGAAGCTACAATTTGCTAAAATATTTTTCTCATTATTATTTTCACTTGTTTCCACAGATTTTACTTCTTCGTCCCTTTCAAATCTATCATCACTTTCTTCTTCATTTAATTCTAAAATTCTTGTTTTTTGAACAATTCCAGCAAGTGCTTTAGCTGGCTTTATTAAATTATTGTCTGTATTGGTCTTAAAATTAATTTAGATAAATTAAAAATATTTTAAGTTAAAGAAGTGTATAGGTGAAAAAAACTTTGAAATTTTTTTTAATAATTTAATTTGAGAATATAATAATTTTAGGAAAAACAACCCAAAAGCCTACTTCAGTTGGAGATTCTCCTTCACGTTCAAGACACCCAACAACTGACTGCCCAACTTCTTTTAAGAAAAGTTCATCACTTCCACGATCTGTATAAATTCTTTTCGGGTTCTTAATATATTCCAGTAATTCATTTTGTGCAAAATTATCAGAAAAACTAATTGCATAAAGCTTTAAATTAATTTAAAAATAATTTATTTTTTTAAAAATTTTTTAAACTTCATTAGTTGTGTTTCTAAGCTTTTGTGAGGCTATTTGTACTTTTGACCATTCATCTTGACTATGTCCATCAGTTATTAATATAATAATAAGTCGAGCATTTGAACGATGCCCTCTAGATATTTCTTCTAATGCCTTTAATTTAAAAAATTTTTTTAAAGAAAAATTTCTCAAACAGTTTCTGAGGCAGCCACTAAAGAAGTAGGCCCTCCCGTATGTTCAATACTTTCAATTTCTTTAAGAATATCATTTTGTTTTCTTCCAATAACAAAAGGAAATTGTAAAATTGCTTTTTTATTGAAAATAATTAATGAAATTGATAAACGTTTCTTTTAAAATAAAATAAAAATACAAAAAATAAATAAAATTTACATTAAAATCTTGTTCAGGTAAAATACTAATTAAATCAAGAGCAAACTTTTTTTGAGCAACAAAATCTTTCTAAAAAATTAATAGAGAAAATATGTAAAATTAAATTAAAAGAGAGAATATAATTACTTATAATATTCCCTTTTTTTGAATAAATTAGAGGATTATTAAAACTTGGGCAAGTCATTGTCATTATTGTTAAAAGCAGAACAAAAGTAAGAACACAAAATTTTGTGGTTTTGTGGACTAATAAATCAGAAAACCTTTAAAAATGTTTTAGGGATGGTTAAACAACATGACTAGACCACTCTAATATAATCTGAGATAACTAAAGAAAATACCTCCACACTAGTAGAAGTATCTAAAATAAAAAGAATATCAACATTCTGAATATTACAATCATTAACAGAAGTACTAGCTGTTCTACTAATTAATTGACTAGTAATTGTTGAAGTTTCAGAATTTTTAAACAAAGTTGGGAAGAATGTTGAGGAAGAGATAGTTGTTGTTGTTTGAGAGATAATTAAAGAGGGAGAGATTGTAGAAGTAAAAGAAGTAGGAAAGTTTTGTTTTTGTTCTGATTGTTGTATTGTGTTTGGATTAATTAATCTTTTAAAAGGAAAATCAGAAATTGCTTCTAATTTTGTTAAATTCTGATTTTTATTGGTAATTGTTTCTGATAATTTAGGAGTGTTTTTGTCACAAATCAGAATTTTTTCAATATCTTCAAAGAATTGTTTTGTTCGGTCATTTATATAAACTTTCATTTCATTGCCTGCTAACAATTCTAATTCACTTTAAAATTAAATATTAAATAAAATATTTTCTTTAATTTACCGAAAGAAATGGTCATGACTAACAGTTACTGCAAATACCTCAATTCCAGAAACTTGTAATCTACCGGCTGTTGCAACTACATCTCCCCAAGGATCTTGACTATTCCCGTCTTATAGAAATAAAAATTTAATTTAAAAAAAGATTAAAGTATTTGTCCAAACTTCTTCTGGTCCTTTTATTAAAATTTATTTTTTAGGTTTAAAACATTGAACTCGAGTTTTATGTTATAACCCGATTTTCAGAGATAAACTCCAAAATTTTAGAATAGTATGCATTAAAATTTGATCTATACATACTCTCCTTATGTATGCCTCATTAAATTTATTATAATACTTTAAATTTTCAGTAATTCAAAAAAAATTTCATTGGGTTCTGGTTTAAAATTTAGCTTCAAAGTTAATAGAAGTTTAGTAAAGCTATTATACTATTTATAGCAAAATAAATATAAAATTTACCAGAAACTAAAACAATAATTTGTCTAGCATCAAATCGTCTCTTTTTTTCAATTAGTTCCAAAGCTAAATTAATTCCACTAACTGCAGAAGTACTTCCCCCAGTGTGTTGAATGTTTGAAATTGCTTCAAAAATTTTATTTTTTTCTTTAATTTCTCCAATAGAAAAATGTAACAAAGAATTTCGATGGAAGGAAACAGCCCCAATTTGGATATTTCCGTTTTCGAAATTTTTGTTTGGAAGGCGAGAGATTAATTCTAAAACTAAATCTAATTGTTCTCTAAATTCTTCTTCAACACTCTGTGAAGTGTCTATTACAAAAATTAAATCAGATTTGCAATCAAAATTGTTGTTAAGTGGTTGAGGGGAATCACGTTGAATTGGGCTAATCTAATATAATTAAATATATGAGTAAATTCTGATTTTTTAAAAATAAATTCTGATTTTTTAAAATAAATTCTGATTTTTTAAAATAAATTCTGATTTTTTAAAATAAATTCTGATTTTTTAAAATAAATTCTGATTTTTTAAAATAAATTCTGATTTTTTAAAAATAAATTCTGATTTCAATTTTGTTTAAAGAAATTCTGTTTAGGGGGTAAATTCTGATTTTATTTCAAGTTTATTTAAATTAAAATTTAATTTTATGTCTGTTTAAAATAAATTCTGATTCTCCTTTCCAGAAAAAGTTTTTTAAAAAAATATTACAAATCAGAATCACCTTTCCATCATTATTCTCATTTCTAAATCGAATATCTCTCTGTCTTTTAATTCCCCCAAAATTATTTTTATTAATTAAAACAGAATCTGCCCTTCTTATTTTCATTTCATCTCGGCATCGAATAATTCTTCTTTGGAATTCATCAACAAATTTAGCCATTTGTCCTTGTCCTCTAGCATTAAATAATCGAAGAAAGGAAGGCTTAGAAGAGAAAGTATTGCTAATAGAAATTTGATTTTGAATATTTTCGTTAAATTTTAAATTTCCAAAATTTAATCCAAAAATTGCAGTTGTTTGGCTTTCCAATGCTTTTTGTAATTTTTTATTATTTCCATTTTTTTCAGAAGAATATCCATCAGTTAATAAAACAATAGCAGATCTTGCCTCATCTCCTCGGCCAAATTTAAATGTTTCTGTGAGAGCGTACCCCAAAGCTTCTGTTAAGCTTTTGTTAGTAAACTTGTTTTCCAGAATCTGCTTCAAGTAAAATTCTGATTTTTTTAATTTATAAAATTCTGATTCAAGTTTATTTAACGAAATTCTGATTTCAAGTTCTTTTAATAAAAATTCTGATTTTAGAGTTTTTCTTAAAAAATTCTGATTTTAAGTTTATGGTTTATTTTAGACAAATAAACTTTAAAAATTTCCACCTCATCATTTGTTGGCCAGTCAATACGGTCAATGGCAAAAAGAGCATCATCCAAAGTTAAAGGCTCCTGTTTTTGTAAAGGATTTCCCGACCAAATAGTAACGCGAATTCTCTGTTGGAATTGTTCGGGGGGAGCTTGTCTAATTGTATCTTTGGCTGCCCTCTTAAAATCATCAAATTGTTCAGCAGAAGTTTGATTAGTATCAGCATTTAATAAAATTATTAAGTCAATTGGGTCTTTAAAAATTAAATTTCTTTAATTATTTCTTTCAAATTTATTATTCCAACCATTTTCACAATGCAAAGGAGATTCTTTTTGTAATGCTTTAGCAGCTAATTGTAAATGTTCTACACGTTCTACACTATTTATTGGTTCGTGGGAGTCAAGTAAATCACCTTTACTTTCATGTCTCCCGCTTGGAGGTAGAACACATTCGAGCAGAATTTTAGAAACTTTTTAAATTAATTAATTTTAATATTCTGATAATTCTGATTTAAAGCTTTAATTAAAATACATATTCCTTAATATTATTTTTGTTTCAAGTTTATTTTTATAAAATTCTGATTTAAAGTTTATTTTTATCCCTACCCTGTTCAACAAATTGTTTTGCCCTTGCATCGATAAAAACATGCCATTGATCACCCACTAAAGTTTTAAGTCTCGTTAGTTGAGCACTTGGAGTAACAGCAACAGCAAACAATTCTGATTTTGACAAATTATTAAAAGGTTTAAATGATTTAGACAATTCCTCAGCAGTATTTCTTCCATTAGACCCGCTCCACAAAATAAACATTAAAAGTCTGGCAGATTGACGACGTTGAATATTTATTTCCTTTTTTTAGATTTTATTTAAAAAATAATTAATTCGAAAACCTGCAAAGTAAGGTTAACTGCTGAAGCAAAAGAAGATTGTACTTTAGTTGGTATAATACCTCTCAATCTTCTCTGGAATTCTAATTTTCCAAGATGTTCTGGAAAAGGAATAAAAATATTTTCAATAAAGTTAGATCCTCCTCGATTGATTGGAGAAGCTATAGTATATTTTAGAGTTCGATATTACGGGGCAGAGCTGGGCTTACGGAGAACGGGAGTTGCGGGGAATTCGGGCTCGGGGAACGGGGTCCCCCCGCGACCTTCTCCCTGGGAATACGATCGAACCTTAGTATAATTAAGATACAACTCATTATAAAATACCCACAATTCCCTTAACCCAATGGATATTATCAACCCTTATATTCATTTTTTTACTTCAATTTTATACAAAAAACAACCCTTACCTGACCATCTAGCTTCAAGTCTAGGTTCTCGTCCAAATGAAAGGGCTGCCAATCTAATTCTTCCCAAATCAACATCTGTTGAAGGTAAACGCCCAACTAATTGAACAGCTAAAGCTAATTGCTTTTCAAAAGGGGAAGAAATTCCATTAGCAGCATTAAAACTGTCAATTACAAAAAGTAAATCAGTTGGGCAATCATCGAGTAATGAAGGTGTTGAAGTTGATATTTGGAGTGGATTTTTCTGAAATAAATATATTCATTTTAAATATTTTTTTAGCATTTTTAATTCCTTAATTTTAATTTTAAAAACACTTAACATTATTTGCAATTTTTTGTTTCTCCTCAAAATTTCCTATCGTTTGTCCTTCATTATCTTTTAAATTATCTTCATTTTCTTTCTCTAAAGGTTCATCCTTTTGTCGTCTTTCCAAATTATTTCCCAAAGAAAAATTTCTCAAATTATTAAAATTACTAGTACGTTCTTCAACAATTTTACTTAAATTTGTAAAAATTCCATTAAATTTATTTTTACTTCCATTTGTTAAAATATCCTTTTCTTCTTTTTCTTCATTCTCTTTTCCAATTTTTAAATTCAAACAATTATTTAAAATAGAGGAGAATGTTGAAACAAATCTTTATTTTTAAATTAATTAAATATTCAATTAATTTAATCAAATTTTACTCTTTATGACTTTTCCCAACAAAAATTCTTTTATTATTTCCAATATAAAGTAATAATTCAGGAAAATTAGAATCTTGACTGGCTGAAACAGCAAAAGAAAGTAGTGAGGGAGTTTGTTGAAGTTTTCGGCCAACAGCTTGTGCCCTAGACCAGAATTCTTGTCCATGACCATCGCTAATGAGTATTAGAATCTAAAATATGTCAATGAAATAAATTAAATTTAAATTATGAATCATGATTAAAGAAAATAACAAGTATAGTGTATATCCATGGTTAACGGGGATCAGGAAAGGAAGATGTGGATATGTATGAGCTTTATATGGGTGTGCATTGGAAATTGAAAAAGATTAAAAATATTTTTTTACCTTTTCAGAATCCCTCCTTCCACCCATTTCAAATTCACTTAAAGCCAACTCCACAGCATCGGCAATTCTTGTATTACTTCCCGTAAATTTTATATCATTCAGTCTTTCAATAATTTCTTTATTATCTACTACAATACTTTCTTTTAACGTCAAAACCAATTTTGGTTCAGAAGCAAAGCTAATTAACCCAATTCTTAATTTTTCACCAATTTCCTCATTATTTATTTCTTTTAAAATATTTTGTGTTAATTGATGTTGTAAATTGAATGAGGGAAAAACTGATCCACTTGTATCAAGCAAAACAAGCAAATCAACCTTTAAAGAAAAAAATCTTTATTAGAAAATTTTTGTTTCTTGTATTTACAAATATTTTATTTTAAATTTTTGTTTAAAATACAATTATAATCCGATAGAGTTTCTCTTCTTATTTTTTCAGACCTCTCAAGTTAAATCCTTACTAAATTTAAAGATTATATGTAGACAGTATTCCTCTACAGTATTCCTCCAGAGGAATACTGTAGACAGTATTCCTCCAATCCAAAATTTTATTCTGAATGATTAGATTTTATGAGGAGAGACATACATAAGTTATGAAAATAGTATTTTTAGAAACAAACTGAAAAAATTATATGTATGTCATAATGAGGGTTATCTATTAGATAGATTACTTCCCTCTATACCCAATAGACAATTAAATTTAAATTAAACTAAATCTACCTATATAATTTTTAGGGTGTCTAAAAATGAAGCCTGACTGTATTTTCATTTTTGATCTAATAATTTACAAATAAAATTCCCCCAATAAAATTAAAAAAAAATAAATTATTCAATACAAGACGCAAAATATTTTTTATTTAATGCTTTGAATTTTAAAATATTAAAAGTTTTAAAATTTATTTTATTTCTTTTTTTTTAAATTTAATTAAAAAATGTATTTTTATTTTAATAAAATAATTTTATTATTTTTATTTTCAATTTATGTTTCTTGTATTCCAAAATATCGAGAAGAATTTGGTGATGATATATTAAAAGCTTTAAATAAAGAAACAATTGAAAATGGAGAAATTGAAGTTAAAACGGGGGAAGACAAACTTGGAGATAATAAAATTAGAAAATGGAGAAAATATGTAATTAAAAGAAAATCAAATGGAGGAAAGAATGAAGAAGAAAAGGTTAGAAAAATAGAAAATTGTTTAAAAGAAGGGATTAGATTGGTGCAGTCTCGGTTAAAAATTGAACAGTTCTACGATTCCCGGATCCTGACGGTTCCGGGAATAGGGGTCATCATTAAATCTTCCATTAAGAGTAAAATGATTTTAATAGAAAATTAAGAAAAAGTTTTTGGACAAAATAACACTTAAGAAAAATTTATTAAATTTAAGATAAACAAAGAAGAACTTTCTTTGCTTGATGCATCTCCAATAAATGTGAAATCAAAGGGAAATTTGGATGATAACGAGAAAAATAAAATAAAAAATGTATTGGATTGGAATAAACAAAGAGCGCCAGTTATTTGTGGGGATGAAGGATGGCATTATTTTGATGGGTAAATGTTAGAAATTTTTAGAAAATTGAAAAAGAAATAAAAATTATTTTTAGTTTTTGTTACAAACTAATAAACGGCAAATTCACGTGGGAAGAAGCATTGGGAGAATGTAAAAAACAGGTAGAAACAAAATATTTCCCCCATGTCCGGAAGTCGAAAAAATTTTTTTCACAAAGATGTTCTAAATTATTCCCAAAAATTTCCTCGTTTTAATTTTACAGAATTCAAATTTGGTGAGTATTCAAAGTGAACAAGAAAATGATTTTGTAGTAAGTTTATCTAATTTATAATTAATTAAATAAATAAATATATCAATTAAGGGATCTCTTAGCACAAAGGTTTTTAAATATAATTAAATAATTAAAATAAAATATTTGTTAGTTTGATCAAAATTTTGATAATTTCTGTCACGGTTTTTGGATTGGAATGACAAGGAAATATATTGAAGAAACGGTTAGATAATTTTTTTTGATAAAAATTAGTTTAAAAGGATTCATTTAAAAGTGAATGGTCTGATGGAACGATAGTTAATTATGGAAATGTTCCTATAAGAGTAGCTTTTCATACCCCTCCTTGGATGGGTGGACAGCCAGATTTTGCTGGAGGTGTTGAGGAATGTGTACATTCTTACCCAAAATTGGGCTGTGATAATTGGCAACAAATATTTTTTAATCAATGGAATGGTGGAAAAATTTGAGAGGAAAAATTTTTTTTAAATTATTTTTGTAGATGCACGTTGTTCAATTAAATTAAGCGGGGCAGTTTGTAAGAAAAGACAATCAATTCAAAAAATTTGAAAAGAGGAAATGAAGGTTAGAAAGAAAGATTAAAGAATTAAATAAATTTTAAAGAATTTCAGAAACAAATATTTAAAAAAATATTTTTATAATTTTAATAATTTTGAAAAAAAATAGTTGCCTCGTTATAATCTCGCTCGCGCTAAGGAAAAGCCTAATACATTAAAATTTAACTATGTCTCTGTTCCAAATAAGAAATATTTAAAAACCAAGTCCCAATGTATATCCAAGTCTCCCTCTCAATCGTCAAATCCCTCGATATCCCCCTAATATATAAAAACACCCACCTCACTTCCATTTTTGCATTCAAAATCAGAATGACTATTTTCAACAGTATTATTAATTTTCTGATTTAAAATTAAATTAAAATTTAATTCTTTTAGTAAAACTTCTCCAAATTTATTTTCCGTTTTTGTAGAATTTATTAAATTAAAACAAACACCAATTTCCTTAAAATAATTAATTATTTAAATTAATTACATAATTAAAAACTTGCCTTGTCTAAAGTTGAAATAAACAAATTTTCACTTTTTTGGCCACTCAAAATACGTCCCTTTTCTTCATTTGTGTAACTTAAAAGTGTTTTTTCGTTGAATGATTCACCAGCTATTGCAAATACAGAAACGTTTTTGGATGACAATTTTGTTCTATCAAAAATAATTTTTTTGAATTAAGATTAGCTATAATTAATTATGGATTTAATTGTTATATTTACTATATGTAAATATAGACCTCACAAAAAATATATTTACGAATTTTAAACAAGAAACTCCAAAAAAATAATTTTTATATTCCTAAAAATTATATTCCTATTCCTAACCTTCCTAACCTCCCCCCAAGACAACTTAAGAAAAATAGAGCAGATACGTTTTTAGTTAAATACCCCCACATTCTGAAAATTCGTGAAAATTTTATGAAAATTTCTCTAAATATTCCTTTTCCTCTCTTCAATATTCAAAACATACATTGCTTCAATACTTTCATTAAACATATCAGTATTTTCCCCATTATGTACCAAAAGAATAATATTTTTTGAATTATTTGAAGTTTCCGAAAATAATTGTGTGCCTATAATTAAGGCTTTGGCTGGCGAAGTTTCTAAATGACGGCGAGGTCTAAGGGAATGAATTAGTTCAATAACCTTTTTAAAATTAATTTTTAAAATTTTTCTAAAATTTTTTTCTTTACTTTCTCAACATTAGAAGATTCCAAAGAATTAATTGGATTTAATACAACAGGGGAACGATGGAAAGCAATTAATCCATAAAAGTTGGAAGAACTTTCTTTAGTTATTAAATTTATATGTCTAAATAATAAATTGAATATATGTAAAGAAAAATCAGAAAAAAACACCTTAAAACTTTCTCAATCCTTTTTTGTTGGTTTTTAAAATAATCAAAGTCCTCTTGTGAAATATCGAATAAAACAAGAATTTGTAAAGAATTCTTTTCATTTTGGCAGCCTAATAATTAAAAAATAAAAACAAAAAATACATAAAAAAGGCTAACAAAGAATTCTACTTTGTTTTTGATTTTAAAAACCCGAAAATTATTATAATAATCCCCAAGTTTTTAGCCACAAAATAAATTTATTAAAATTAATTTACAAAATCACCATTGGAATTTTTTGTATTAATTTCATTATTAGATGCTGCTTCTGATTGGAGTAAAAAAATTGAAGCAAGGAAGAAGATAATTGGAAACAAGAAATTGAAAATTGTAATAATTTTTAGAGGGAAAAAAGATAAATTTAGGCCTTTAGCCATTAAAAAGCTACAATTAAAGACTGTTTTTATTCTTCTGAAATAATTGAATAATTTAAGTGAAAGAATAACGAATATTTAAATTTAAAAAATTTGTTTATAGGCCCAGGACAAAAAATGCGAATTATGTCCTAATAAGTGTCTTTCTCTAAAGGAGATTAATAATTTAGAAAGTAATTTTATTTAATTTTCTGTAAAAAACATTTATTTAATTTAAAATTAAAGATGTTGGGGAATGCGCAAAAATTAGATTAAAGAATGAAAGTTTGTGTTGTGTGTACATTTATTATACTAATTTCCCGTCAATCACGCTTCATTGCATTTTCGCCGTTCCCCCTTTAAAAAAAGGCAATTTGTTTATTTTATTATAATTTTATTTATCTAGTTATTAAAGCTTATTATTATAAATAAATAAATAAATAATATTATTTTTTCTCGTTTTGATAAGCTATAATTAATTTATGACAAACTTTTTATTTTTATTTATTTCGGTCGGTGTGGTCATTTTAAAGGATTGATTTTTGGGAGATTTACATACATAAATATAAAATGAAATCAATTTTTGGGAATTTAGCGGAAGTTATTTAGTTATTTGTAAATTACCTATGTAGTATTTTATTTGTTAGAAATTACTGAATAATGTAAATAAATATTTATTTGGTATTATTTTAAGAATTTAATACAGTGGTTTTTCCCTCTGGACTTGCCCCTCATGGAAGTTAAATTTTCCTCTGCTTATTTTCCGTCTATAAAGTCGAACGCTTGTTTTATTAAGCTTTTTGGTTCAATCGGATTAAGATATCGGTGTTAATTTAAAATATTAATAGACTTAATTAAATCATTATATGTAAAAACTGCAACTATCTATTAAATAAAAATACTTTTATTAACTAAATATAATAATAAATTGTTTTTTTTTTGCTTTTCTGGTACTTTATATGTAGTAAGAGTAGTTAACCCCCCCCCCGAGATGTCGTTGGGGCAGCGGGGTCCATCCATTTAGCCCCTCCCCTTAATTAAACGGTATTTAAATACAGTCATTCCGTCGTCAGAGTCCAAGGAGTTCCCAAAGGTTTGAACTGTAATTTGACCAAACCGGTTTAATTTTGAACTTTTTAAAGAAAACACCTTACCAAACCATTCCCCATATTGTTCATAGTCAAAATATTCCCAAAGCAGCTAAGGTTCAAGTAGTTTTAAACCGGTTTAACCGGTTCAAAGAAGGATTTCCCATACGGTTTACAAGAATACAATTAAACACAATTTACTATGCTAAAATTTAATTTGCTTGAATCGTGGTTGAATGCAATTGTTTTTTAAATACACCTGCAAACCTTATTCTCTTCCTCAAAATCTTTTCTATTTGAAAAATTTTAAAAATTCCTGACCCCTCAATACTTTTCCAATTCTTTTTATTGAAATTGCAACAAAAGCTGAAAATAAATAATTATGAAAAAATATAAAAATTTATAAAAAGTAGGCGGTGAAAGTGAAAACATATAAAATCATTCATGCGATAATTATGTTGCAATAAAAGATAAAAAATAGGTCATGCACGAGAAAAATTATAAAAATTATTGTTGAAAAGTGAAAATTGGGTAAAATTTTAAAAGTAACTAAAAATAAAAGTTAAAAAGTGAAAATTTGTTAAAAATAGATCAAGTAAAAAATATTATGAAATAGTTATTAAAATGTAGGCGTGGAAAAGTGAAAATAGAAAAATTTGTCAAACAAAAAATATATATATAAATCCAAGTTTTTAGGATTTATTCTTCATTCATAAAAAATTAAAAAATTTTATTTTACTAATCTAAAATGTCTCCTCCGCCATCGAAACGATCATGTCTCTTCATGATCAACAATCTACTTGATCTGCAGCGTGGCAGCGGTGATTTTTTAAAACATTTGGGTGAAGAAACCAAGATCACCCGGAAATTTAACCTTACCAAACTTACTACTAAATTCTTAATTTCGAATATCCCACCCGATCCTGAGGGTTTATTAAGAGGAATTTTCCAAGAATGCATCGACAAAACATTGGAGACGAGTCATGATCACCAGCTTGATCCAGATCAACTTGGTTGCACAGTGAGCAGTCAGTTACTAGAAACTGACATCTGGATCCCGATCAGGGACATCAACAACAACACTGTAGACGCCATACTTAACCAATTCCTCAAGGTGGCGCAGTCCAAAAAACAAGATCAAGGTATGCTTTGGGGTGAGCCATTTAATGTTTCAGTTACAACAATTGACAAAAAGAATATTCAAACTACTCGAGTAACTCAAGGCAGCGGCAGAGATTCAACACCAATTCAAAATAAAATTAAACAACACAATCTTATTAAAATTATTAATTCTGACAACTACTGCCTATTTCGTTCATTAGCTGCTACTTTCGTATTCTCAACATCTTCATGGCCAAGATGGAAATTTTATGATTACCTGCATAGCAGAGGAGGTATGACTCATCAACTTGAGAAAGATGCTAAAAAACTGATGAACCAAATTGGAGCTCCTCCTGATCAAACTACCTATGATGCAAAGGAATATGTGCCAAAAGTGGTGGACTACTGGAATTCTCTGGATAAAGGTGGATTTAAAGCTTTTATTTTTGGAGAATTGGGGATTAAACCTATTTTTAAATATGGGGCTGAAAATTATAATACTCCAATTCTTCTTTATTTTTATAATAACCATTTTGATGGAGTAAGAAAGGCAAGTGATTTATTTGGTAAGCCTTATTGCCTTGCCTGCGAAAAATTGTACAACAAACCAAAGGACCATGCGACTTCATGTTCAGCACGATGCCCCAATTGCTCCAGAATTGGTCCCGACTACCCATGTCAGCAAATAGACAACTTTTTCAAACATTGTTCTAGTTGTGATAAAGAATTTTACAACGAGGAATGCTACAACCATCACCTCAGTTCTAACTTTTGCAACAACTCCAAAAAATGTGAAAAGTGTGGAGTGATTTGGTATGTAAAAGACAACAACAAAAATGGACGTGTTGGACATGTTTGTTCAGAACGTTATTGCAACACCTGCTTTAGCTACCACGACCCTAAAAGAGGCTGCTTCATCAAACCTCTTACCCTCAAAAAGTCAAAACCGTACCGGATTATCGCTTTTGATTTTGAGACCATGCAGCACAAGCAAGGAGAAAAGGGAAAACTACATGAAGTCAACTTCATCTCAGCAAAAATCAATTGTCCTGAATGCATCAATAATGGATCGCACAACGACTGTAAAATTTGTGGGGAAGATCGAACAATTACATTCTCCCATCAGCCATTCACCAATACAAATGTTGATCAGCAGAACATCACTAATGATCCTCTGACTGATTTTGCAACATGGATCACCAATGCCTCAACAGATACGGTAGCCTTCTCACATTTTGGCGGGAGGTTTGATATGGTCCTACTGTTCAAAGCGTTATTTCTACAGGGCTTAACTCCTGATATGATTAAAAAAGGAAACAAGATGTATGAAATGAAGGTTAAAAATTCTAAAAAATGCTGGATAATCTTCAGAGACACCTACAATCTAATGCCAATGCCTTTGGCATCTCTTGTACCTGCATTTGGACTACAAGTGGAAGACAAACCTTTCTTCCCTCACATTGCCAACAACCCAAAGAATTATGGAAAAGAAATATACCCAAATAAAGAAGACTACATTTGCAATGGAATGATGCCTGAGAAACGGGCCCAATTTGATAAATGGTTCAATCAACACAAAGAAGAACCCTTCAATTTGGATGAACAACTAGCAGCCTATTGTACCAATGACGTTGAAATCCTTATGGCTGCTCTTATAGCCTTCAGAAAAGAATTTTTGGAAGTTTCCAACGGTCTAGATGTTCTACGAGAATCGATGACTATTGCTTCAGCCTGCATGAAGCACTTCCGATTGAACCATCTCAAGCCACAACACGTCGGAATTGTACCTGAAAAAGGATACGACAACGTCGACAACCAAAGCTTATTGGCACTTCGATTTCTTAAATGGTATGCTGAGAAAAATAATGTCGAAGTGAGAACAGCACACTCAAAGAATGGTGAAAAGAAGATTGGTAATTATAAGTTGGATGGGTGGATTAAGGAAAAGAAATTGGGTATTGAAGTCAATGGGTGCTGCTGGCACGGATGCATCAAATGTTACCCTGAAGATGACATAAAACTTCCAACAGGTTTCACAGCAGGTCAACAAAGGGAGAAAGATCAACAACGTCTCAACTTTATTAAGAATTTGGGTGTGAAAGTTGAGGTCTATTGGGAGTGTCAAATACGGAAAATGGTCTCCAAAGATTTTGAGATGAGAAAAATGTTTAAAAATTATTTGGATGACGGGCCGATCAACATTAGATCAGCATTCTATGGGGGAAGAACAGGCCCTCTCAAACTTTTTCATTCTGCACAGCAAGGAGAAAGAATTTCCTACTATGACGTGACTTCCCTCTACCCCTTTATCAATGTTTCAACGCGGTACCCTGTTGGACATCCTGAAGTGCACGTGATCAACAAAGATGTCAACTGGACTAAACCAGAAGACAACACCTTCAACCTTTCACTTCTAAAACTTTTTATTATTCCACCTCGGACTATTGATGTTCCAGTCTTACCTATGAAAATTGGGGAAGATGAAGATGAACGACTACTGTTCCCCTTGTGCTCGACATGTGCAAAAGAGCATCCACATGGGGATGTCAACGAAAACTACTGCTGCCCCCATTCAGATCAACAGAGAGGATGGGTCAGCACATGCACATCTATTGAATTGAACGAAGCCCTCAAAGAGGGTTATATTGTCACCAAACTCTTCAGGGTTCTGGAATTCAAAAACTACGACGACAAACTCTTCAACCCTTACATCACTGAATTTATGGCCCAAAAAATTCACTCCTCTGGTTTCGACAATGTCATCAAAGGAAACAAATTGAAAGAAGATGATTTTATGAAAGAATGTATGGAAATGTTTGGAATTAAGATTGAGAGGGAGAA